ATTGATCGTCGCTTTTACACCGCGGTTAGACTAAAAGAAAGGAGGAGTTAAACAGTATGCTACAATTTATATATATTTTTTTTATGATCATTATGACAACTTGTAAACGTTTTCATTTATTCCTTATAAGTTACATTACAAGAAAAAGTAAGCGTTTTATAGCAATGATAGTTTACCAGTTTTTTGACGAGTTATACACAAAACAATGCTGTAATAAATTTTAACACTGAATTAAATTAGATCGATCAAGTTCATTATGTACTTATACAACTACTGTAAGTGAGAATTAAACGTTGATTTAATATTTTATGAACGTTAAATGCTACTGAACCCGTAAATTAACTAAAATAACGAGATATTTGTTTATTATATTAATTAAAAAAGAAGTTTAAAAGGAGTTATGAAGCTAAGATGATCAAACAGAAAATTTGGAATGGAAAGTTAAATAAGTAAAATATAAAATCACCTGTAATAGTTACCTTATAAAGTATATGTGGCTAAAGTGGGGCTTGAAAGATTTTAAAGAGCATAAAGTAGTAGAACCTTGCATGATAATATCCTTAAGCATCGAACTGTATACCTGCTTCTGCAATCACGTGACGGATAACTTACTTCTTTTGAAACAAGCAACCATCGCGAAACTACAACACCACGAGCAACCTCCAAAAAATCTTATAAGACACTAATTTTAAAACATTAATTAGCACTACTATATCGAATAATGCGAACAATCAACAATTACAACTTTCTTTACTGCATGTATCCACAAGAAATATCATATACAATTTCGACAGTAGCTTGTACCTAATAAAAGATCCAAGAAATCAGTGATTTTGAACATTAATCACTATCTAAATATTGCACAACAACAGTGCTCATATCAATCGAAAACTGTTAGGTTAAGCTCTGACTAGTCGTTCAGATCTCCAGCCTGACATGTACTCCTTCAATACAAGAGTATAAAAACTCCTTGCATATACCAATATTCGCTTTTTTTTTTTTTATCTAGTGTTTTAAAGCAACTATAAACGTTGGAGAGTGAGTTCTGTTACGTCTTTTAAAAGAGTAAAATACTTAATTCGGTCATCAAGCTGCGTGTTAGAAGCGTGCATTTCAAACAAATCTAAGACTTAGTTTGGTGACTTAGCTATGTGAGAAAAGCTCGAGCCATCAGACCACTGTAGACTCGCCTGAAAAGGTTGTCAAAGAGTAACAAAAAAGAAAGGACCATCGACTTTGGTTGTGACATCAAAAGCAGCAGCCTAATTATCATCATCGCTACAAGTACTCTCGTATATAATTGGAATCATCGTTGCGGTCAACTTTGTGAGATCTTACGAATGTGTGCACACAAACAGCAGCTTGCAAACCATCATAGAAGTAAGTCAAGTTAAGAAACACTGTAAATTGTTTAAGCACTGTAAATGTAAGCTTATAACTTTAAAATTAGTATTATTTGTAGAAATCTATTATTTCAGACTTCACCAAATTTATTGAATAATCAGATAATATATAAGCTGGTCATTAATTGAATTTATGTTTGTTAACTTAATATTTCGAGATTCAAATTTCTTATTGATAGAAATATAATTTTGGTTCAAATGAACAAGTATATGGTTAGTAAAAACAAACAAGGCCTTTGGGCCGATAACTGGCTCCTAACGAATAAAAATCAAATTTACTTATGTGTTACACCCTTTACTTAGTAGTTTGAATGTAACAACCGAATTGAATGACGAACAAACTAAATTGTTTTAAACTAATATTAAATGGGGACAGAAGGGGCCTAGGAGGTAGTATAAAAATGATGGAGCCTCGGGGGGGGGGGGGGCAATAAGTGTTATAAAAATTAAAAGGTTGAAGGGGCTAAGAAGAATTCTCCAAAAAATTTAGCCCGATAAAATCACAGGCTCACTGAATTTATTTTGTCTTATTTTCAGGGAAGACTAAGGGGGCTGAGAGCTGATATATAAATAATAGAAATTATAAGGGGGCTATGCAGAAGGAAAGAGCGGCAAACAAATTTTCAACGCAAAGGAAACAACAGAAGTTGAGAAAATTTGATCTTATTTGAAGGTGGGATTGAGTAGATGAGGGGGAAGTTGTGGTGTGACCCTCCGAAATTACTATTGAATATATGTAGATAGATACAGTATAGACCTAGGGTCTAAAAAAATCCACATTTCTGCTTAATCGTTGGGTTCTTGTCATCGTATTCAAACTTAAAGAGAATATAAATGGTTATTTGCATACGTATACTTCCATTTTTTTTATTTTAACTACAATCTCACTTCCATTATTTCTCATTTACTTCGATGAAAATAGTTTTTTTGCTTACACCAGTTGTCGTTATTCTTGCATACACAAAAAAATGTTTTCTTCTCACTTTGTAACGTTACTGCGTACATACGATTTTTAGCTGTTCGTAGTCCTATAGTACCTTGGTTTTTAATCGTCAAATATATTCATCGACAAAGCAACGTAACATATACTGTGCTAGATCTTTTGCGAAGAATATTATGTAGAAGAAAAAGAATGTCTTACACATCGTCCACGTAATTGATATTGACATTATTTTCTTATCCACGTAAAACTGTCAAGTTTTGTACTTCTTTAAGTTTCACCAAATTTCTAGCTGACTTTGAAAATTTTCTTGTAGTAACTGCGTGCCTCTGCTACTCAGACTTGCCCATCGGAACTAGGCAGTCCACTGGTAATGATGCTTTTTTTCCTTTAATTTCGTATTAATTTATCATTAACGATTATGAAACGATCTATTTTCTTCTTTAGGAGTTTATTCGGTAATCACTTTTTTAAAGAAATTTATGTTTTTTAAGAATTTTAAGTATACTTTTTACTTCCTAAGACATTTACCACTAACTTTCAATTTTTACAATCCAACATAGTCAAGGCTACAATGCGTGAATAGACAAATATGGTAACATTAACTTGGTTAAAAAAAAGTTGTCATTGTTGGATTTGCCAGTTTAGCTCAAAGTGTATAAATAATTATTTACTTATTTGCTTTACTGTGTTAATATTGTTTGAGATTTAATACTGTATATTTTTGACGAATTTCATTCATAACACCTTTCTGATTTAAGAAATAAAATTTTTCTTGATAAAATTTTATTTTTAAGAGAGTTACGGGTTCTCTCGCATCCAAAATTAGTAATTTTATTGAGACAGGTATATTTTTGAATTATCTGAGATTAAGTATCAGCTCTTTTTTGGTATATTTTTAGAGTTGTCTAAAACACTAATAACCTTTAAAGATAAAATTGTCTGAATCCTATTCATTAGTTTCATGTAGCTTTTCTTACTTATTTAACTCGGCTAATATTTTTTTTATTCGTTAAATAGCTTCAAACAATCATGCGGTTTTTATAATTTAAGTATCTAAGGAAGAAAATTGGCATACAAAAATCAATGCTATTGTTTTAATAAAACAAATGTCTGATAACACACTCTGTTATGCACTTTCTAGGTAAGACTTTCCCGTATTAATTAAAAATTTTTATTTCAGACACTGTGAGTAAAAACCCTGTTAGAATCAAAGCCCTGAAAACCATTTTTTGGCCTTATCCAGCAAATTATATGAATATTTTTTAGCACCATCCACTAAATTTTTACTCGATGGTACCCACTTTTCTTAAGAGATTTCAGTATATTTATCACGGATATTTTAAAACCATGGTAGACTTTTTTAAGCCAGTAAAGTAAAATTTCGTAATCTGTTCTCGGAATTGTTAAACTATGTTATGATAATTTTTTCAGAAATTTTTTTAAGCAAGACGAGTCACTAAAACTCCGCCATCGGATTCCAATCTTTGACTAACCATCATTTCGAAAGGTACTACATGACTGTTTGATAGTATTAGAAAAACAACATCATCAATATGCAGTAAAAAAAAAATTCCTAATAAATTACAACCACAAAAGCTTTCAAGCTTACATTGCAAAATATATAAAATTTGGCTGTGTTAAATTGGAAACTTTTTGAGTTGATAACAAAACATGAGATAAACTTTCTTAATCTAAATCCAAATACTACTTCCTCTTATGTTTAAGGTGTTGATCAGTTAATTCTTTATTTTATTTATCATAACTCTCCCAGATCTTTTATATACGTATCCGAGAACGCTTTGCAAAAAGCATAAAAAACATTAACCAGAGGAAAACTTACAAAGTTGCTCTCAAGAGCTCGCATTCAGTTAGTTTCTTTGTTTCTCGTCAAAAATGTTAAATAATTTTGTTTTAAAATTTGTATTACAGCTAATGTGTTCGGCTCGTTTCCCGCGATCAACGTCCGACAAGATGACGGCACGCGCGCCCTCCTTTGTTCTGCACGCGTACTGCTCCTGCAGAGCTGCCAAGCCGCGCGCGGGCTGACACACTGACGATCGAAGACCCAAGGAAGAAAGAGCTGAGGGAGATCACTTCGACTGAAGTGATATAATTGTCTGCAACTCTGTACTCAACGCTAGGTCACATAATAAAGATTTTCAAAACAGAACATTGGTCCTTTGAGCCAGATTCCGAGCGAGTAAGAAACAAACAGCAACCATTGCAGAGCAGGTGTAAAACCAAGAAGAGCATTCAGTACACAACATAATGTGAGTATACTATTACTGAAGTCAAAGTGTTGGTTGTATTAAGCCATCGCGACACATTGCCTTACTGACGGGTGTACCTATACCTTGTCATGACAAGAGCAAACGCAATACGGGCGGTTTATCAAGGTTAGCATTTAACCTCTCTTTTTCAATGCGTGATGCACGCAAGCGTCTACGCGCCCACATGGACATGTAGGTGCATGTGTGCGTGTGTGTGTACATAAGGTGTGAATCTCTCTCTTTCTTTCTCTTACTCTCGCATCTTCTCCCCGTTGTATAACCGCACACATACGTGTTAATTTGTGGAAGTGAGGACAAAGCCAGGCTCGGCCCGACAGCAATAGCAGCTTTGTGCAACCGTCAAGCTCATGATTGCTCTTTCAGGTCCGACAAAGGCTGGGCTAACCTATTTGGCGCCCAATGCGCTCTGGCAGACGTCATCGCTCGTTTCGCACTGGCCGTCACGCAAACTGAGCCCTCGGCCTGGACTACCGGCCTCGTCGAACTGAGGCTTGAGTTGCTGGATGGCTACTGGAGCGACTTTCAGGCCAATCATCTGAGGCTTATCGAGGCGCCTCCTCCCGAGAAGCAGGAGTCACTAACCCAAATGTACTCAACATCGGAGGATGAGTACATAGAGTCACGCGCCCACCTCTACAACGCGAGGAGCACCCTCGCACCACCCCCTGGCAACAGTGGAGCAGGCCCCGGGCGCGCTACATCAAGTTGTGGAACCCGCCTGCCCCGAATCAGCATTCCCGCCTTCTCCGGGAAAAGAGAAGACTGGGAGAGCTTCCGGGATCTCTTTCGAGCGCTAGTGCATGACGATCAACAGCTAACCAATGTCGAGCGACTGTTTAACTTAAAGTCTCTCGTGGAGGGAGATGCCAAAACAGCCCTCGACGCAATCCAGATCGTTGGCGCCAACTACTCGACGGCTTGGGCCGCGCTCAAGGCACGGTTTGAACACCGCCGTCTCCTAGTACACGACCATTTAACGGCACTACGGAACATCAGGCCTTTAAGGGACGAGTCGGCTAGAGGTCTGCGGAGCTTTCTTGATACGCTGGGTCGCCACCGGGATCAGTTGCAAGCATTGGGCCGTCCTGTCCTCCAGTGGGATGACTGGCTGATCTCTTGTGCCATGACCGGCATGGACCCAACTGCCCGGCGTGCCTGGGAGGACGAGCTCATGCTGCTCGAGGGCGCCGACACAAGGGCTGGGAGTGAGACTGCGACTTTCGCCGCCATGACGAACTTCCTTCACCGACAGTGCCGCGCTCTCAGCTCCATTGAGGCATCTCGCCCAGCACGGCCAGCGAGCACGCCCAGCATCCGTCCGCCAGCTTCAACATCTTCTAGGCGGCACTATCGCTCCCTCACAACCAGCGCAGCTCTGCCTCCGTGTCCGTCCTGCAGCGAAACCCGATACCTGGGGCACTGCGCTCGATTCCAAGGCCTCGACGCGCACGCTCAGCGAGACCTGGTCTACCAAGCCCGACTATGTTTTAATTGCCTCCAAACGGGCCACCTGTTGAAGTTCTGCCCCTCCCGATCTGTTTGTCAGCACTGCCGAGAACAGCACCACAGCCTGCTTCACGACAGCAGCGGTCGACGGCCATCGGACCCATCTGACGGTCTGCCATCACCAAAACGGCTGAAGGCCGACCCCGTCGGTGCAACCCGTGCCGACGACCTAAGCCCGTCACCCTCTTCCTGACTCGCCGTGCTACCGACCGCTCTCGTTCAGCTGAGTGGGCTGTCCGGTTGGCGCGCAACAGCCCGAGCCCTCCTCGATGCGTGCTCCGAGGTCACGATCGTCTCTGCGAACCTGGCGCGACGGCTTAACGCCACGCTGGAGCACACCAATGCGAGAATTTCCGGAGAAGGAGGTGAGTCGGTCGTCCACTCGAGACCTCGGGCTCATCTGCACATCGACTCGGGCAGAGATGCGCCGCCGATCACCTTGGCAGCTCTCTGCTTACCTCAACTCGGGCTTGTATCGCCATCCGCTCCTCTGCACCCATCTGTGGCCGAGCAGTGGCTTGATCTTCAGCCTCTGGCCGACCCCGCATTCGGTACACCTAGTCGTGTGAACCTGCTTCTCGGTGCCGACGTCTACAGCTGCATATTGAGGGCAGAATCCGTCCGGGGGGGCGACATTATCAGTCAGCACACGATCTTCGGCTGGAGCCTCGTCGGCCGTGCTTCTGGCCTGTAGCCAGCAGCTTTCACTGTTGGCTTGACACTGCACATGGACGGAGCACCGTCTTGGCATCGCTAGCTGGCTGCGCTGCTGCAGCGCTTTTAAAAGCTCGAGGAAGTACCGCAAGTCAGCCGCCGCGCTCCAGAGGACATTGAGTGCGAGCGCATCTTCCTCGATCACCATCGTGCTTCGGATGGCCGCTATGTCGTTTGTCTGCCATTGAAGAGCGACAGTGCGCGGCTGCTCGGCAACAGTCTGCAGAGTGCCACGGCCGCCCTTTACTCGTTGCATCGTCGCCTCCAGCGGACCCCAGCGATGGGTGCTGAGTATGTGCAATTTATGGCAGAGTACATCGCTCTGGGCCACATGAGGCCACTGCCTGACGATCTGCATACGGCTTCGCCCCGACCAGTGCACTATATCTAACATCACGGCATCTGGCAGAGCAGCGATAAGGGTTGCAGGCTTCGCGTCGTGTTCAACGCCTCGAAACCGACATCGAGCGGCTACAGCATAAACGACGTCCTCTTCGCGGGCCCTAGGCTGCAGACCGCGCTCCCCAGCATGCTCCTACGCTGGCGACGACACCGAATCGCCTTCTGCAGCGACGTCCGCACGATGTTTCGTCAGATCTGGATTCACAAGCGTGACGTTGATCTACAGCGTATCTTGTGGAGCCCTGATCCAAACCAACCGCCCACGCACTACTAGCTGTTAACAGTCACCTACGGTGCTTCGTGCTCACCATACCTCTCCTTGCGCACTGTGCAGCAGCTGTGTGAGGACACCGTTGGCCCGAGGCAGTTTCCGTGGTAATGAACGACCACTACGTCGACGACATACTCTCCGGTGCCGACGACATCGCCACGGATCGATATATTCGTGACCAGCTAATCGAACTTCTGCAAGCTAGCGGGTTTCCTCTGCGCAAGTGGGTAGCCAATCTGCCCGAGCTAATGGACGACCTCCCCGACGACGTGTGCCTGCGACCCACTTGGTGTCAGCTTGGCACTGAAGGTCTCGTTAGTGAGCTCGGTGTGAGCTGAGACCCACCGTCAGATTGCTTCCTGCTAACACCTCCCTTCATACAGCACCAAACCACCAAGAGGACTATGCTCGCAGCGCTCGCGGGCCTGTTTGATCGATGCGGTTGGCTTGCGCCGATCGTGCTGAACGCCAAACTCCTGCTGCAAGACTTATGGCGAGCCAACCTGGACTGGGACGAGTCTGCTCCGTCGTCCATGATTCAAAGGTGGACTGCCTTTGCCGCCGAGCTCCAAACCATCTCCAGTCTATCCCTGCCTCGTTGGATCGGAACGGTCGCGTCAGCGGACATTCACCTGCACGTATTTTCCGATGCCAGCCGCCGCGCGATGGCTGCTGTCCTGTACTCTAGACTCCAGGCCGTAGACAGTTCTGTCCGCTGCCACATTCTCCTCGCTCACACGAAGCTGGCGCCCATCCACATTTTTAAGCCAATGGCCGAGCCCGTGACCCGGATGACTATTCCTCGCTTGGAGCTCTGCGCTGCCCTGCTGACTGCTAAGCTTCTGCGCTCGATGGCTGAAGAACTAGCAGTTCCGATTGAGCGCTGTCACGCCTGGTGCGACTCGCAAATTGTGCTGCACTGGGTTGGCTCCGATCAGCCAACCAACAACACCCTCGTCGACAACTACGTGGCCCAGATACAGGACACGCTACCCTCGAGCGCCTGGCGGTACGTGCCGTCGCAGTCCAATCCAGCTGACGTGGCCACTCGAAGCGCGGACATGTCCGGTCTCAGACAACAACTCCTGTGGTGGGAAGGTCCACCGATTCTCGCAGACAACGACCGAGCCTGGCCCCAGGAATCACTTCAAGAGGTGACACCCCTGCCGTTGGCCTGCTACGCCACCCGTCTGGCTGAGCCGAGCATACTTGAACGATATTCCAAGCTTCACACTCTACTCGTCGTTCTCGTGCGCACTCGTCGGTGGGTTCAGCGCCAGTTGCGTCGCCCACCTGTTCTGCCGGTGCTCTCACCACTGACCCCCGCCGAGCTTCAAAATGCTTTCCTGGCCTGCGTCCGTTTGAGCCAATCGGAAACGTTCGGCTAAGAGCGCGCGCGGTTGCAAAACGGCGAGCGATTTTCAAAAGGGAATCCTTTGACTTTTCTTGCGGCTTTCCTCGACACTAAGGGCGTTCTGCGCGTCGGAGGGCGGCTGGGTTTCTCCTCGCTACCTTACGAAGAGCGGCATCCACCGATCCTTAGCGGAGCCTCATCACTCGCCTCGCTGGTCCTTTCTTGGGCCCATACTCGAGCTCTTCACGGCGGATACAGGGTCACTAGCGCCTACGCGGCCAAGCGTGCATGGATTCTCGGTGGCCCACGCAGAATCAAGGCTCAATTGCGGCGGTGGGTCGTATGCTCCCGACTCCAGGCTCGCTCCGCGACCCAGATGATGGCCCCCTTACCAGCTTTACGAGTCAAACCTTCCCGCGCTTTTGGCCAAACGGGTGTTGACTACGCCGGGCCTTTTTCAGTTCTTGCGTCAAAAGGACGAGGCATACGCACTACGAAGGGTTACATCGCCGTCTTCATGTGCATGACGACAAAGGCCCTACACCTCGAGCTCATCGGTGATCTCTCCACGGCCGCCTTCCTGGGCGCTCTCGCTAGGTTCACCGGTCGTCGCGGTCGACCCTTTGAACTCTGGAGCAACAATGCCACTTGCTTTCACCGCGCTGATCTGGAGCTGCACGAGGCGTTACAAATCGCGGAGAATAACTAGGACCTCGTTGCCGGCTCTCTCGCTTCGCAAGGTATTGCTTGGCACTTCATCCCCCCTGGGGCTCCACATTTCGGCGGACTCTGGGAAGCTGCCGTCAAGTTAGTCAAAGGCCACCTCCGACGCGTAATGGGCTCCCGTCATCTGACCTACGAGGAATTCTCTACCGTACTAGTTGGGATTGAGATGGTGCTCAACGGAAGGCCCTTGACACCGTTCTCCGGCGACCCTTCCGATTTCGAGGTACTTACACCTGGCCACTTCCTTGTTGGAGCCCCACTCGATTCCATCATCCAGCCCAGGCCTCCCACTGAGAACTTGGACGCTTTCTCGCATTGGGACCTCGTGAGAGCTATTTGGGCTCAGTTCTGTTCACGCTGGAGCCGAAATTACCTTAATATACTCCAGCAGAGGCCGAAGTGGACCGTTGCTCGCCGAAGTTTTGCCGTCGGCGACTTCGTCATCCTACTGGACGCTACCTTCCTCCAATCGAGCGGTCGTTGGCCGCTGGGTCGCATCATTCGCGCCCAGCCTGGTCCTGATGGATTGGTGCGAGCGGTCACTGTGAAGACAGTGACTGGCGAGTACGTGCGACTTGTTGTCAAACTGGCCCTGCTCCCCGTAGCGAACCCCGGTCCACCAACGCCACCACCTGATGGTCAAGAAGGCCAACCCGCCTTGGCGGGCGGCGACTAGTGTGTCGCTCCAGGAGCGATGCGGGCGGATTGTTCAGCATGTTTTCCGCGATCAACGTCCGACAAGATGACGGCACGCGCGCCCTCCTTTGATCTGCGCGCGTACTGCTCCTGCGGAGAAGCCGAGCCGCGCGCGGGCTGACACACTGACGATCGAGGACCCGAGGAAGAAAGAGCTGAGGGATATCACATCGACTGAAGTGATATAATTGTCTGCAACTCTGTACCCATTGCTAAGTCACATTATAAAGATTTTCAAAACAGAACACTAATGTATCAGATATATGTAATCAATTTGGCCATAAAATTTTCTTAAACTTTTTATTTACTGCGTACATGATACATTTTTGTGCTGTTTTGTGAAGCTAAATTTTAAGCAACGATTACATATTATTACTAGCCTAGGGATATATTTCCTAATATGCGTATTTGTTTATTTCTTTAGCGTGAATCATTTGACTTTCCCTCCTTTTCACGTTATGTAACTGTCAAGGAATCCGTCTTAAAATGTATTTTCAATAAGTTCGCATTACCAATGATTTAGCAAACTTCAAGTTTTCTTAACTTAACATGCTTCTATGATTATTAGTAAGTTGCTGCTTGTGTGCACGCAGTCGCAAGATCCTAACAGGTTACTTGTAACGACGGTTCTAATTCAACAAGAAAATAATTCTGACGATGATTATAGGAAGGCTGCTGCTTTTAACGTCAGATCCATAGTTAACAATTTTTTTTTTTTCTTGTTCTTTTTTATTCCACTTTTCAGGCAGGTCTAAGGTAACTAAGCTTGCTTGAGCTTTTTTCTCATAGCTTTATCATTAAACTAAGTCTTACATTTGCTCGAAATGTACCCTTCTCAAATACAGCTTAATCACTTAATTAAGTCTTACATCCACTTAAACGAAGCAAAAGATATTACTTTCCAACTCTTAAAATTTCTTTAGAGCACTTGATGAAAGGGAAAAAGCAAATCTTGGTATGTGCACGAAGTTCTTACACTCTTGCATCTAAGGAGGACAAATCGGATTAGGAATCAGAACGACCGATCAGAACTTAACCTTATTACTCTCAACTAATGTGAGCACTGTCGTGGTGAAATAATTATACACTGATTGATGTTAATAACTGCTGATTTTTCAGATTTCATACATGGTACGAGTTGATATCAGAATTGTGTACGATATTCGTTGTAAATCCTACGCAGTAATAAATGCTGAAATTCATGATTCATTAGATTTTTGCATGCGTTAGTGCAAATTGATGTGGTAATATAAGCGCTTTATAAGATTGTTGAGGATGGTAAGCTAAGCTCTAGTTTTGTGACGGTAGCTCTTTCCAAAAAAAGTAAGTTATGGCCACAACCCTCTACAGACCCCAGTGACCCCTCTGTCATGTCACAGAACCCTTAATCTTCGTAAAAAAGGTAAAATTTTATTTTTTTCTGCATCATTTTAATATGAAATACTTTTTTTCAGACCATTACCACCCCCTACCACCATCATTACATGAAAATAAAAAATAATTTTAGTCTCTTTCGCTCATTTTGACTTACAGCATTTCTTTATCACGACACCCTACCATCCTTTACCAAAATTACGTATACTTAAATGTATTACCTTAACTATTATTCCTTAAATACCTTTTAATTAACTATGTAGTTTAACCATTTCCTTTTTAAATACCTTCATAAACACGTACCAAAAAAACTGTAATCATAAGTTATGTTTAAATATTAACTAAAGTTTTTCTCCTTTAGAAAAGTCTTAGGAATTTATATATTTTCCAATATTTTCAGGGTAAACATGCTCATAACCACGAAAAATAACATTTACAATTTTCGAATTATTTTTAAACTTTTATGAAATTTTTTTTCATAAATTCTTTCACTTTTTGCATAAAGACACGTTCAAAATAAATAAACCTGAAGTTATGTGTGTATAAAAACTAATTTTTCTCGATTAGAGTGCCACGATTTTTTTAGCGTGACTAGAACAAAATTTTGTATGTAACTTTGATTTTGCAAATGATAAACTGTAAATGTGAAAAATTTTTTTTTAATTGTAACTGTGCTGTCACCTTTTTTTCGAAGCAGGAATAAATTCCTATAAATTGCTGTCTGAAAAAATTTATGTGATTTGAAATGGATTGTGATTCTTATAAAAATCTCTTGAAATTCGACCAACTACTTCTAAAGCTGTAATTAGAAACATAAGTGACTAATCTTAAATAGTTCGATCAACTGTTGGAAACTTTTTATTCTCAAATTCTAATTTAAAACATGCACTTTTAATATTGTCTAACTCTAAAAAATTTAATTCAAAAAATACCAGTCCATAGACCACAATTTAGCTATAGATAACATTTTTTTAGGTAACTAAATGATTAATTAAATTTTATACAAAATAATTTGCAATACAGTACTAATACATATAACTGTAAATTATATAAAGTTCTAAGATAATAGAAACCGTAAAAGTATCGAAGTGGTGTATTTTATGAGTTATTTTACAGAGCTTTACCACTTCCTTGTTGGAGCCCCACTCGATTCCATCATCCAGCCCGGGCCTCCCACTGAGAACTTGGACGCTCTCTAGCATTGGGACCTCGTGAGAGCCATTCGGGCTCAGTTCTGGTCACGCTGGAGCCGAGAGTACCTTCATACACTCCAGCAGAGGCCNTCTTATAACTTTATTTTTCTAAAAAAACTAAGCAATTATTGGAGAAAATATTTTTTATCTTCTTTTATACAAATGCTAAAATTGTATCATAAAATAAACAAACTAATATTTGAATGTCCTGTTTCTATACACAATTTATTTTTTGTTCACTAACATACAATTTTAAATATAAAGAAACTTGAAAAGTACAAAGTGATTTTCTTACTTTAAAACGATTAATAAAAACAAATGTAAAATAAGCAACAAACAGTAAAGTGTAGCGCTATTATAGTTTTAACTTCTGGTTTACCAGAGAAGTATCATCTCCTTGTAAACACAAGAAGCTTACCAAAAAGTCCTTCTAAACAAATATGTATTAAAAAAATTGATCCATTTTGTTGATCTTATGGTTTTTTTATTGTTGCTGTCATCAGGAGACTTTGGATGCAGTACAAATTATTCGTTAAGTTAATCAAACAGTCACAATAAACATCTAACTTTTTTACAATAATATTTATGCAGACTATTATACAGACTTAACGAGCAAACGTTTTAGTCCTTTGTTATGTACCAGAAGAATAACTGCACAATTTTCCATTAATGTTTACATTACGATTTAAAATAATCATGTACTTAAAAAATGACAGACAATATTGGATTAGTTTTTGTTATATATGGGGCAAGCAAATTAAACAAAAGAACAGTTATAGAATTACTTAGTTTTTGTATTAATCTTAGTTGAATAGAAAGATACACTATAGGTAGATAACGAGTAGCGAGATCTGCACGGTGAGAACCTTTATGCCTTAGAAAGTCCACTTACATCTCTCTAACGTAAGGCTAGGTGATACATCAAAGTTTGAAATCTAGTGAGAGCGCTCTTTTGTGGTACATACAGAAAACATTATGAATATAATAATCCCAATACACAACATTTCCTCCCTCCTTTTTTGTTTTTTGGGGGTTGATGCATTAG